ATGTGTTTTCAAATTTTGATGGATATATTGGGGTATAACCCCACTGTAAGTCAAGAGGCATTTGTAGGAGCCTGTCTCCAGTCCAGATATGTAGTCATTTTGCTAGAAGCTCCTGAGCAGTTACCTTTTCTTATTCTTGTGACATTGAAAGAATGCAAATACATTTCCTGCCCCTTAGCCTCAGTCCCTACTTCAGAGAGAGAATGTAGCCCTATCTTTCTCCCCATCATTATACTGACTCTTTAAATCCGATGAGAACAGATTCCTTTTCTTTTTTAAAAAAACTTAAAATTTTTTTTTCTATTTTTTGTGTATGTGTGTATTGCTTGCATGTAAGTGCACCCATGTTGTGCAATGCCTGCGGAAGTCAGAAGAGGCTGTCAGATCCCCTGGGACTGGAGTTACAGTTGTTAGCTGCCATGTGGGTGCTAGGATTCGAACCTGGGTCTTCTGCAAGAACCACCAGTGTTCTTAACCGCTGAGCCATCTCTTCAGCCCCAAGAACAGATTCCTTTTCAAACATCAAATGAGAAAACCCTGAAAGCCCTCGAGCCACAATCCCTGTCCTTGTTTCTCTCTAGTAAATAGTTTTTAATCTACCTGCATTACTCCAACTACCATTAATTTCAAAGAAAACTTAACATGGAGATAATAAGACAGCAAGCATCCATTGTTTAGTTACTAATTACTTGCTGACTTCCCAGTTAAGACCTATGGAGAACCAGGAGTGTGGAGAACCAGCCTTTCTTCTAATTGATTCTGGCAAAAGCCAGATGTCAGCAGCCATCAGGCTGACAGCATCTCATGCCCATATGTAGGTCTATTTTAAGCTTCCTGCCTGGAACCTCTGAGGTTACTGGATCATCTCTGTGTTATCAAAGCTAACAACATCCACTACCCCTAAGGGTCTTTTCATTCCACAAGAACACCAGGCAGATATGGTCAAATGTTTGTTCATTTTCAAGTCTGCAAGGTGGCAAGAGAATCATTTAAATGTGAGAGGTTACACTGAGAACCATCCTTGTATGCGTACCTCAGAAAGCATTTGTGTAGATAAACAAGACAGGTTTATTTTTGCATAGTGCTTTCTTTTATCATACTATTTTCCCAAGACTCTCCCTCTTTGCCTGTTTCTTTTCTACAATCATCCTGGGTTGTTTCAGTGTTGCTTTTCAATACCTTTCAATGTTGAAATACCAACAGGTCTTCTGGTGGCTCATACAGTCTTTCAGGTTACAGCAGAGAACCAAAGGACTTATCCTGGCTGTGGCCAAATGGCCACAAAATAACAAATAGCAGTGCTGAAGTAAGCCCATTGGGTGACCTCCAGTTAGAAAGAGAGTAAGGCCAGGCCAGAGGAGAATCAAGGCAGGGATACTAAAGAACCCTGTTCAACACACCAGGAGTTGGCTCCTCAGTAGATTGGCACTGTGTTCATAATATGCATGTCACTCAATCATGCAACTAGAGAAGAGAACTCACAAGTCCACATGAGATTATTTCAAAGTCATCACTCTATGGAGGCTTTACCCTAATTCCATAAATATCTTGGCATTCAATTTTGAGGACACATTCTTTTGACTATATTTAGTGGTGGCAAATACCAGTTTTTTGAGAATCAGTATTATTTTCAGAAATAGCCAGGTCATTCAGAACAGAGAATAAGACGGAGAAATCAGTACCATTCAGGTATAACACCAAAACTTTGATTGTAGTAAAACAAGTTGAAATTTCCTGTACCAATCTGAAAATAAATTTGGGAATGGAATTTTTAAAGTCCAGTGACAGATAAGTGTTATGAGCACATGTGATTAATATAACAACTTTCAAGAGGTCATTTGCTATGGATGTATAAATTCTGCTACTGGTGGGAAGGGTATAGCATTTCCAGGTTCTTGACCTCTTATCCAAAGAACTGAAAACAGGGGTTCACAGAGATTTGCAAAAGTAGCAAGTTAACCTTATTTAAAGGGAAGCACCACTACAGATGAGCAAAAGATACCCTGCCAAGACTGACAGAGGGCCACATGAGTGAGGGGACTTAAGGACCTGGATTATTATTTGAGGCTTTTTTTTTTTATATGAGGCTCAAGAGTTTGGTTGCTAAGGGGTATAGTTTGGGTGGCTCTACTCTGATTAGGTCAAATAGTCATTTTTCTTACTGAGCATGTCCCTTCCCATAATGCTTCTAATATTAATCATATGCACACCCAATTTTGTATAGGCATTAGATGGCAACTAGGGAACTCGCTATGTATGTAAACCAGGCAGGCCTTGACCTCCCAGTGATCCAACTGCCCCTGCCTCCTGAGTGCTGGGATTAAAAGTGGGTGCCACCACACCCTGCATTTGAGGAGTTTTGCCTTACTGCCCATGGACTCAAGACTAGTTCAGGCAGATATCTCCTTCCCTAGGACCAAAATGTTCTTTTGGTCCAGCCGCCCACTCCCCCTAGCACACGAGCCACTTCCCACAGAGGTGCCAAGGATCTGAGGAAGCCTCCCTGGGGGGGGGTTGGGGGGGCAACTGTAATCAAAGGTAAAGTTTGTAGAAATATTGCTGGGTCCTCAGGCAGAAACTCTGTTTTTTGTTTTTTGAGCCAGGGTCTCCCTGTAGCCCCAGCTGATCTAGAACTCACTATGTAGACCAGGTGGGCCGCGATCTCGCGAAGATCGACCTCCCTTGGCCTTGCTGGGATTAAAGGTGTATGCCACCAAGCCTGGCTCAGGCAGAAATTCTTGAAAGAGAAACCTACTCTTAGCTTCAGCTAATTTGTCTCCATGAATGCCAGAAGGAGCTGAGAGATAGTGACACTTTTCATACAAATTAAAGTGATAATGTAAGATTCTAAGACCCTCCATTTTATTAGTAACATTAGCAACTAACTGTAAAAAATACTGCACATGGATTATGGGTCTTCCTGGTCTCTTAGCAGTCTTTAAAACACAGAAGTGACACATGTATAATAGCAGCCAATACATAACGTTTGTATTTTATATATACATACATACACATATATAAAACACATATTTTACATATGCATACATATATATATAACACATATGTATTTTATATATACATAAAATCAACTAACTTAAGCTGTCCTGTTTTTACTCTTAAACATGACAGAATTTGTCCACAGCAGAGGCTGCCCCAAACAAGAAAGTTGTAGAGGACAGGGTGGAAGCCGGGCAGTCCTGACTCCAGCTGCACTTTTAAATCACAGTCACACCAGCCTATACTGCTCTATGGGACAAGAGGAAGAAATCGACACACAAGTGAAATATTCAATGCAGAGTGAAGGACAACGAAGAGCACATTTATGGGCAGACCATCTGAGAAGCAAAAGGAGGTGGAGAAGTAAGGGAGATGGATTTGGAATGAGGGCCAGATTAACCACAAGAGTTCTTGATGGATAGTCAAAAATATTCTCATTTGGAAAACTGAAGAGGCAGTTTGAAAGATCCAGGGATTTTGGTTTAGTTTATAAAGTTTTAGTTTAGTTTTATAAAGCTTTTCCTTTGTTTACACAAAAAACCCACACAATTCAGGACTAGTACAATTCCACAGTTAACTGTGGCAGTTCTTATATCTAGTTGACATCACTTTGACTTTATTGGCTAATAAGAGTCTGTATATAATAAGTTCAAGTCAACTCGTTAACACTAGACAGATGTGCGATGGCTTTACAAGGAAGCTTTCAGAAGCCATTATCCCCTAAAAGATGGCATATATATGGATGCAGACAAGAGGCCGCTAATCCCATAAAGACGTTATTGCAGAACGCAGTAAGGGCCTCAAGCACACAATGGTAATGCAATCTTAAACCTAACCTCATCTCACAAACTAAGATTCTTCTGGGGTAAATGGATTTTGTCACTGGGGATGACTTAAAAGGCTCTGTCTGACTCCAAATCCAGTGCTCTTCCCACTTTTGCATGCTGCAGTCTTTTGCTCCGTAACCAGTCTGGGAAAGGGGAATACTGATTTCAAAGTCCGTCAGAGAACCTGACTACCCAACTACTGTACAAGCGGAAGCATGCTTCCATCAAACTTCCTCTTGCTGTTTACAACAGCTTCCTCGCCCTGGGACCTGAAGGGCATCAAAGAAAAACACCATCGGATTTAATACTCCTTAAAATCAGCAACTAGGTCTTGAATGAATGAAGCAAGGTACATTCGCTTCTCTGTCCTGCCTCATGTAACAGGAGAGTTGAGTTTCCAGTTGGGGTTGGAGTCCCTCCGGTGGTCAGCACACACCGATGTTGCGGAGTCTTGGCCATAAGGCCCGCCTAGTGCACCACGCGGTCCCCGCTGAGGTGCCAAGGATTCGCGGAAGCGCGCCCCGCCAGAGAACAACCCGCCCCCGGGCGCCACGCGCAGAGATGTTAGAACCCGCCCAGACACCTCCTCCACCGAGGGACTACAGCCAACTCCGCCACCTCGGTCCAGCCCTACCCAGGGCCGCTCCGGCGTGCGCAGGTCCACCTTCTCCAGGGCGTGGCCACGTGAGCGCGCGCGCCCAACCAATGGGCCGCCGCCGCCCAATGGAAGGGATTGTCTGACCCCCGTGACGTCACAAAGCTGGCGGGAGTGCGCGGCTCTTCCGCCCCCGCCCTTCGGGCCCAAACCCCAGCTCTCCAGCGCCCCGCCCAGTCGCCATCGCAGCCAATCGGAAGACGGGAAGCGCTGGGCCCGAACGCGCGGGCGGGGCAGGGTGGTGGCCCGGCGGGGCAGGGGCGCGAGTGGGCCAGCCCAAGGGAGCTGTGTCGGGCTGCGGGAAGGAAGGCACGCCGCGAGGTGCCGCTGCCCGTGGGAGACCGCAGTGGGTGCTCTGCTGTGCCCGGTTCGTATCCTCGTCCACCGTCCCGAGTCGCGAGGGGGCGTCAGGGCCGAGGGTGCGTGGAGCGCGGAATGGAGGGCGGGCGGGCGCGCGCGGGCTGGCGGGGCTGCGGAGCCGCTTTCGGGGCGAGCTGCCGAGGGCCCTGGGTGGCAACCGGCTGTCAGCGCGGAAGGCGCCCGCGGGAAGGCTGAGCTCTGGAGAGACCTAGGCGGCCGGGGCGTGGCTGCTTCGGGGTCGCCTTTGACACGCTCGGGGACCCGGGTGGCCGGGCCGGCAGTCCCCGACGGGCTGGGACTCAAGGTCTGTGCGGAAGCGGCCGTCGCGTGGAGCAGGGCAGCGGAGGATGCTGCGCGCCCTTGGGCTCCACGCGCTGGCTGCGTGCGGTGCCCCTGCTCCCGCTCTGGGCGCTACCCTCCTGCCTAGGGCTGGGATACTGCCAGGCCAGCGGGTGGGTTTGTTTGGTTTCTTCTTCTCCCCTCCCCTCTCTTCCCCCCTCTCCATCCTCTCCTCCCCTCCCAGCCCATTCACTGGGCTGCTGCGAGACCTCGCCCCTCCTCCGCTCCCGCCTCCCCGCTGCCGCCTCCTCTAATGAGCATCTCTGCCTTGCTTTCAATGGGCCGCTGCTGCTGTCGCTGCTGCTGTCCACGCGGGTTGTGGATGTTGTCGGCTCCGTGTTGTGATGACAGGAGAATGTGTGTGTGTCCCGGGCCCAGACGAATTGGTAGGTATTCACTTAACTACCTGTGTTGGGTACCCAGGAAGGATGGTGTCTGATTTTGTGTGTGGATGGTTTTAAGGGGTCCATATGGAATTAAGGGACGAGATAGGAAAAACAAAGGTTCCCCGGACCAGAAGAATCTCTTTGGTATTTTTTAGTAAGTGCGATTTTCCAGGTGTGGACAAAGGAAACTGATCAAACAAGTGCTGGCTTGATGCTTTTGTCTTAAGGATACTGGTTTCTTCTTTCTTCTAGATAACTGGGCTGTGAAATGGCTAGGCATTTCCAGAAAATGAAAAATCGCAAGTCTTTATGCAGGGTGTTTAATGCAATCAGATTACATAAACTGGAGTTCTAACACATGTAATGACTAGTATAGTATTTATTTTCATTTGCATCAGAAGTGCGGCAAGCTCCAGAGTACCTGTACCAATAACATTTTCTAACTGATTTGGTCCATGGCTTTATTGATGAAGCGGAATAATTTCTTGGCACAGGCTCTGCCCAGCACATCAGAAAGAATGGATGATGCTCTTCCCTTTCTGGGTGCAGCCGCATCTTCTTATTAGTCATTGGCAATATCGGCCAAATCTGCCTTGCCCTAAGATGCTGCATATAGTGTTGCTGACTCCGGGTGATGATGGTACAGGAACTTCTAAAAAAACAAGTAGGAAATTTGCTGTTGCTCCAGTTTACCAACAACTATGCCTTGATGTGCTTCTTGCCTCATCAGGAGACTTATGTTAATTTAGCAAGTGTATAAAGAAAAGTTTTGATTTCCTAGGAATATATGTTGGATCACAGGATATTTAGAAGGATATTAAGAATTTTTCATTGCACACTGTTTATCAAAGCATTTGATAAACCGTTTCTGGTCTGATGGAGAAAATATATAATTTGTGTTGACTGATACAGAGTGCTCATTAATTACAGAACGTGGCTTTCATGAATTTGACTTCTCTTAAGAATTTTATCTTTTGAAAATGTGCTAGGAGCTGGGGAATTAGAATGCAATCTAGTCCATATCCTGAGCCCTGAATAACTGAAAAGATACAGTTGAAAAAATTTACTCTGATCTTTTCTTTTACTTTAATATGAAATACTGTTGCTGTGAAGGAAAAATGTAGTTGAATTTAAATATTAAAGCTCTGCTATACGAAGCTCTTTCACTACCAGATTTCATTCATTTTCTAATCAACTTTAAAGCAGAAAAACTGTCAAAAACAAAGCAATTTAAGGAAAGTGAAGGTTTCCCGGGCTCATTGTTCCTTGATTTAGATGTCATGTAATCAAGCTGTTAGGCCTTTTTCATTCCCTACTCTCACCGTAAGTTTCAAAGTAAAAACAAATACAAACTTAAAAATTCTGAGGAAGATTGGTTTGCAATAAGACTACACCTGTTCTTAAATTTTTAATGATATTATTAACAGGATATAAAAGATTTTTTGCATACAAACATGAAAAGAGGTGTGTTATGGTTCATATCTACAAGCCAGTGTCATGTGGCCTAACGTTTGCGCACATCTCCTGGCTCAGTCATGAACACTTAACCTTTGGATGACTTTCAGGTATTCAGTGTGAAGCGCTGTTGATTTAAGTGGTTAGTCCTGGTAAGCTCTTGTTCTTCTGGAGTTCCTGTTGTTCATTTCTGCATTTTGGAAGACTTATTTATGGATTCTTACTCCAAAAATTCTAGCCATCACTTTATTTCCTAATTTTGTCTGCTTGCAAAAGAGGTCTTGTCTGACTGAAATATATTGTGCTTAGTACAAAAGCAGACAAGAATCTAGATTTTCAGTGTTTAGTTTCCTCTGTTACCCCATTTCTACTTTTCACTTCCCTAACTACCAGTCAAAAAGTATACGAAAATTACTTAATATATAGCTAACATGGTGATATTTGTAATTTTTTCTTAATTCAGGTTTTGGTAAGAAGAGTTGATTATAAGACTCATGGTTTTATTTTACTTATTTTTCTCTGTTTAAAGTAGATCTACAGCCTGTTTCTTTGTAGTTTAAATGAATACTTTAGGCAGTATCTCAAGAATTCAGAGGAAACATATGTTAACAAAGAAGAGATTTTTTTTTCTTATAGATATTTGAAATGGTGATATGTGTTCATCCAGTTTTCTAGATAAATGCCCATTATAAAATAATGTTTTCAGAACATTTGTAACTATAATGCCATCCCATCATAACCAAAAATTGTAGACTTAATTCATGGTTCTTTATTGCTTACCTATGGGAAGAAGATACCTGGTTTTAACTAAAAGAGAAAACATCTTCCTGAAAATGAATAGGGAGCCTTAGTACATGAAACAATGTTTTCATAGTTTGCTTTCGTGACTGCAAAGAATAATGGCAGCAAGCTAATTACATTCTGAAACTGGGATCACTTATGGTACTAAACAAGTTTTATAGCAACAAGAATCCTTAGTTTTTAAAATCACAAATGGCACAGCAAAATTCAGCACTAAATGAATAAAACCTGCATTTGATTCCAAAGCTTCAGTCCACAGCATGAATCCTAGAAGAGACCTCAGAGATCTGCTCCCATATATTCACTGGGAATTTAATGGGGAGAGACCCAGAGAGGCAAACTGTCTTTCCCGGGATTATTTGGTGAATTAGTCACAGACCTAACCCCCTTTAGCTTGCTAAGCTGGCACAGTGGTCTAAAGAAGGCAGCCTTACAAGACTCAACTGAGGTGCAGGGTAAAAATACTGGAATTTCTGTTTTACTTTCATTATGTGGACAATGGTCTATATACATCACAGTGAAAATTAATATACTGTGTGTATATATATATAACTTACAAATAATGTATGAATATGCATACATTAGTGATATTATCTTAGCATTTTTGGCAATAGCCATGTGTAATCAATGCCAACAAATCAAGAAACAGATCTCTGTAAATGACAGAAGTAACTTTACAAATGGGAGATCAAGCCTCCCTTTTAAAAAGCATAAATGGGCAATTGGCCAGGTAGACTGCTGTGGCATAATGTTATATAACTTCCTGCTCAGCTTTCTCCAGCCAGATCTATGTATTTCTGAACAGTTTGTTCTGCACAAAGAAATACAAAGGAACGAGAAAAGTGAAGTTCAAGTATGGTTCAGTCCTGACTCCATGAATGACTGAGAATTCTAGATACTATAAAACAGCCTGTAGAAACAGTACATGAGATATACATACATCTGTCTACCTGCCTACCTACCTACCTAGCTAAATATATATGTATCGCCTCCTGGCATAGGGCTTTTCCTATAACTTCCCTTCATATTGTCTGTAAAGCAAAGCTAGTTAAGTAGTCTGAAGTATTAACTTTTCTTTGTGTGCATTTGTCTTAATTTGCTCTCTAGGACTCCCAGTCAGAACGCCCAGCCTACCTCTGTTCTCTGATGCCATGCCAGCACCGACTCAACTGTTTTTTCCTCTCATCCGTAACTGTGAACTGAGCAGAATCTATGGCACTGCATGTTACTGCCACCACAAACATCTCTGCTGTTCGTCACCCTACCAAAGTCGTCTGAGATACACACCCCATCCGGCATATGCTACCTTTTGTAGGCCGAAGGAGAACTGGTGGCAGTATACTCAAGGAAGGAGATACACCTCCACACCACAGAAATTTTACCTCACACCTCCACAAGTCAACAGCATCCTTAAAGCTAATGAATACAGTTTCAAAGTACCAGAATTTGATGGCAAAAATGTCAGTTCCATCCTTGGATTTGACAGCAATCAGCTACCTGCAAATGCCCCCATAGAGGACCGGAGAAGTGCAGCAACCTGCTTGCAGACCAGAGGGATGCTTTTGGGGGTTTTTGATGGCCATGCAGGTTGCGCTTGCTCCCAGGCAGTCAGTGAGAGACTCTTTTATTATATTGCTGTCTCCTTGTTACCCCATGAGACTTTGCTAGAGATTGAAAATGCAGTGGAGAGTGGTCGGGCACTGCTACCCATCCTTCAGTGGCACAAACACCCCAATGATTACTTCAGTAAGGAGGCATCCAAATTGTATTTCAACAGCTTAAGGACTTACTGGCAAGAGCTTATAGACCTCAACACTGGCGAGTCGACTGATATTGATGTTAAGGAGGCTTTAATTAATGCTTTCAAGAGACTTGATAATGACATTTCATTGGAGGCTCAAGTCGGTGATCCTAATTCCTTCCTCAATTACCTGGTGCTTCGGGTGGCATTTTCTGGGGCCACTGCTTGTGTGGCCCATGTGGATGGTGTTGACCTTCACGTGGCTAACACTGGCGATAGCAGAGCCATGCTGGGTGTGCAGGAAGAAGATGGCTCCTGGTCAGCAGTCACACTCTCTAATGACCACAATGCTCAGAATGAAAGAGAACTGGAACGTCTGAAATTGGAACACCCGAAGAATGAGGCCAAAAGTGTGGTGAAGCAGGATCGGCTGCTTGGCCTGCTCATGCCTTTTAGGGCTTTTGGAGATGTAAAGTTCAAATGGAGCATTGATCTTCAAAAGAGAGTGATAGAGTCTGGCCCAGACCAGTTGAACGACAATGAATATACCAAGTTCATCCCTCCTAACTACCATACACCACCTTATCTCACTGCTGAGCCAGAGGTAACTTATCACCGATTAAGGCCACAGGATAAATTCCTAGTATTGGCTACAGATGGGTTATGGGAGACTATGCATAGGCAGGATGTGGTTAGGATTGTGGGTGAGTACTTAACTGGTATGCATCACCAGCAGCCAATAGCTGTTGGTGGCTACAAGGTGACTCTGGGACAGATGCATGGCCTTTTAACAGAAAGGAGAGCCAAGATGTCTGCTGTCTTTCAGGATCAGAATGCTGCAACCCATCTCATTCGCCACGCTGTAGGCAACAACGAGTTTGGGGCTGTCGATCATGAACGACTCTCCAAAATGCTTAGTCTTCCGGAAGAGCTTGCTCGGATGTACAGAGATGACATTACAATTATTGTAGTTCAGTTCAATTCTCATGTTGTAGGGGCATATCAAAACCAGGAACAGTAAGCAGATCTACCCTGGGATCTCTCAAGATTGAAGGAAGGGCAGGTAAACTTTTTAAAGAAACTCATATAGCAAATATTTCCAGTGGGTCAGTCTAAATGTTTCCTGTTTGATACGCTAGCTAGTCTGACATTACAAATTGACTGTGCAGCAGATGATAGATCATGTCTGTTCTGCCTAGTGGGCCCTCATAGTATCTTCACTTGAGGCAACTCAGTTCCTTATTACAGGTGTTCTGAAACGGTGATTTTGCCTAACAAGCTCAAAATATGAAGGTTGGCAGATAAGACCTTGAATGGGTCAAAAATGAGTTACCTTGCTAGGAGTTTTGGTAAAGGCAAGAAACATTATTATTGACACCTGCAGACCTCTTGGCTAAGATCTAAAGTACATGAGAACATTTATTTACTGCATGACTTTTCTACGATTAAACTGTCCATACATAATTGACATACATTTAGCCTGGAGCATTTTTCAGATCCAATACTTTAAGCCATAAATGACTATGAACCTTGTCAAACAATTTGAATTTGTAAGTTTTTGTGATTACATGATAAACTATGCTTCTTAAATGGAAAAAAAGAAAAGAACCCTACCCTACATTCTTCCCCACCCATGGTTTCCTCAATGTAACATATTTTTTGTTTGCCATACCTTGCAGACAATAGTGTTTTTTTTTTTTAGTTTTATCTACTCTCCTATTGAATGTTAAATAAAGGGAAAAATGGTTTTAGTTTATGTACATGAAAAACTTTAGTTTGAAATAAAGATACCCAGAATAAAAAGAAGAGACTGATATGCTTAATTCTTGTCATCTGTAGTCACCAGCACTGGTATATAATTCCCGTGGGAGGTGTGGCACATGTAAGTGTGTGGTGGGTAGACTGCTGCTGCGAAATCACACTTTAGTAGTCATAAGAGTTTTCATCCATTTTGGAATTTTAAGGATGACATATATATATATAGTAAGTTTAAATATCAACTTGAGTAATAAGATTTTAATATTACCACCTGCACTGAGACAGTGGAGGAAATGTTTTCACTTAGACGTAGGTCAGTTAAAATAATTTGGTTTAAAATTATTAAATGCTTTAAACATACTGTAGCTTATATGTGTTAAAATATATACATGGGAATTTTTAAATGGTAACTTGTGCATGCCTGATACAGAATACTTAGTAACATCAAGTGTTGTTTGCAACACTCTCCATGATTATATGCAATCCTTCCTATTACTGTATCACAGTAAATGAAAATAAATATATTCAAATTGGCTTTGAGAGAGCTTGTTTGATGTGCATCAAATGATATTTTGTTCCTGCATTTAATGGTGATCTGTATACAGCTGTGCATATATTTTATTACTATTTTTTTAAAAAGGCTATGACATTTAAAATTCACATAGATTTTGATACAAAACATGATTAGCTTTCTGTTGTGTAATTAGTTGAGTCTATAAGAGTCCTTTCAGCATTTCATAAGAGACGAACTAGATGTTCCAAGGACTGTAGATACTAAATATAGTAGTATTGGCAGCAAAATTAGTTCCAAATGAAAATGGACTCAGGAAGATTGTAGCTCAGTGCATCATAGAATTTGTTTTCTAAAATACTTTTGTAGCCAGGCTTGGTGCTGCACACCTTTAAATCCTAGCACTTGGGAGGCAGAGGCAGGCAGATCTCTGTGAGTTCGAGGCCAGCTTGGTCTACCTAGTGAGTTCCAGGACAGGTAGGGATACAGGGAGACCCCTGTTTCAAAAAAAAGACAAAAAATAATAATAATAAAATACTTTTTTCTTTTTAAGTCAACTTGGACCTTTTTTTCCCCCTTGGCAGTATTTTGGAGCTATATTATGCATTCTTAATGTTTTCAGAGACATCTTAGAATGAAAAATACACACCACAGTAGCAAAATACTTTTTTTTTTTTTCCTGTCTTTTTGAGACGGTCTCCCTGTAGCCCCAGCTGTCCTAGAACTCACTGTGTAGACCAGCCTGGCCTCAAACTCACAAAGATCCTTCTGCCTCTGCCTCCCAAGTGCTGGGATTAAAGGCATGCGCCACCACGCCCAGCCAAAATCCATTTTTAGTACTGTTTGAATTGCTCTTGAACACCACCACTGAAGAGTTCTATGTCACACACTAACGAATGCCTCATCTCTGTATGATATGGGAAATATAAATTTGGTTTCCTTGTTCCTGAAAAGATGATTCTTATTACTCGAAAAGTTTTGTTTACAGCCTGAAGCCAGTCTACTTTGTATAGGAATGAAATGCAGTGTGGAGTTGGTGTTGTGGAGATGGAAATAAGTGGGTGTGCAAAGTTGAATATCCTGTCATCTAAAAGCACTTGTGATCTTTATCATAACTTCTTGTCACCATGATACAATATCTAGAATTAAAGTCAGTTTGTGTAAACTTTCTTGGTATTTAGCCTTTCTTAAGTTTGTTTTATTTAAAACTTTCTAACATGTATTCTATTTCTGTATTTACACTTAGTGATTCATGACACCATGTAATGTATCCACAACTAGTTAAAAGAAATCTTGGTGTGATACTTAGTAAGAATGCTCACTTATGGTTAGAGAAATGCCCACAGTGAATTAAAGCTTTCTGCTTGCTTTCTGAGAAGCCTGTGTTTTTAATAACAATAGGATTCCCTCTGTTTTTTGTGGGTAGTAGGTTATATTTAACTTTGGGCTCAAATAAATGGCATTTTAATTTTTAGTAGTTATAATTTATATTCAATAATATTTAAATCTTTTACATTTATAATGTGAAGTTCGGTAAAGATCCATTTACAGAATTTTTCCATAGCACTAGAAAATTTCCTCATGTCCAATTCCAGTCAGCCCCTCCACACAAAAAATTGTCCTGACTTGTCTAACCATAGAGTAATGCTACTTCTAGAATTTCATATATATGAAATTGTTTTAAAAGACTATTTTCATGTTTTGTTGAATATATTCACAGTCTGTTCCTTACTGGCCAAGTAGTGTGTCACTGTTTGGATATATCACTATTTGTCCATTTTTTGCTCTGCACTGAACCTCTTGTGATTTTTACATGGGTAGCTTCTTAGGAATACTATTTGGTTAAGCTATAGCTTCAACTTTACAAATACGAATACAGGTAAGTTTTATATTACATACCTTAATGACCTTAATGGGAGGAATCTTTTTAATAGCCTTATCCCTGAAAATAGAAAATGCAAATTATTCTTCATGTAAAGTTTAGAAAGTTTGGGGGTGTTCCTTGGCTGTTGACCTCTCTACACATCTCCCACTGAGAGTTTTATGTTCATTAACTCAAATGATTTTGCTAATGACTGTCCTATGAAAACAAGGCAATTTGTAGCTTGATTATTACTATTTCAGTCATTGCTGTTAGGAACAAAGGAAGAAAGACAGTTGAGTGTTGACTGTTAAGACAGGAATTAGATAACTGACTTTGGTATTTGTGCATTTCTTGTAGTACTGGGGATTGAACCTAGAGCCTTGCGTATGGTTAGGCAGGTGCTCTATCGCTGAGCTATATCCCTAGCCCTCCTCTTGCATTTTAAAATTACTACTTTATTTCACCACTTCATACACACACACATGTAATGTACTTTGATTTTGAGTCAGGGTTTTGCTAAGTTGCCCAGGCAGGCCTCGAACTTGCAAGTCTCCTGCCTTAGCCTTCCAAGTAGCTGGGATTACAGTAGTATGCGCCACCCGGCCCAGCTCTGTTTTAGTAAACAGGGATAACACTGTCTGGAGTGAGCTTCCCCGTTTACTAGGCAAACATGTTTGTGAGTTGGGTATATTACTAGTTTTGTCCTTGAGTATAGTAAGAGAGTCTAGGAGCTGTATTTTGTAGGTTGAATAATATTTGTGATGCTTCAGATTTTCAAGTTGAGTCTTGATAAATTGATGTGAATGCCGTAACCACAAGAAACGCAAGAGCTGAGTGAATAGACAATGACATCAGAATTGACTCCCTATAGTATGAAGGTTATTTTCTCTGTGTACAGAATTTACTTTGAAAGCCAAGCTGAATCCCACTAAACCCTATCTGTCCAGTTCTTGATATAATTTATACTATGTGTGAAGTTCTAACAATATACAGTATTTCCTAAGTAGGACTCACATAACAAGTTTTCAAAGTAAATATATTAAGAATGATGAATACTTGAATTCCCCATTCTTTTTTTTTTTTTTTTTCTTTTTGGTCTCTTTGAAACAGGGTCTCCCTGTAGCCCCAGCTGACCTGGAACTTGCTATGTAGACCAGGCTGGCCTCAAACTCACAGAGATCTGCCTGCCTCTGCCTCTCAAGTGCTGGGATCAAAGGTGTGCGCCCCCATGCCCAGCTGAACTCCCCATTCTTAATATACCCTGTATTCTAGGTACCGACTGTTAATCTAGTGCACATCCTTCAAGGACCACATGGGCTAGGTGTGGTTGGGACATACTTTTAATCCCAGCACTCAAGAAGGCAGACCCAGGTGGATCACTAAGTTGGGGACTAGCCTGGTCTACATAGTTCCAGGCCAACTAAGGCTACATAGTGAGACATTGTCTCAAAATAGATGACATGATTCAGGCTCATTTATTTATGCAATATTTAAGTTCATAATATATGCACATAATTGCTGCAGCAGTTTCTGAACTGTCTCCACAGAGGCTGTCCATTCTCTCAGGGCAGCATTCATCCATTACATTTCTTTCTCTTTGAGTCAGCACAATGCTGAGCAAAACGTGTTCATTTATTTTACATTAAAAATGTACAGTCAAGCCCAAGTGAACTTCAAGAATCTATCTTGCTCTTGTTCATCAGAAGATAACACTGCAGTTGGATGCAGGAGAATTCATTTATTCTGGTAACTTTGCATTTTATAGTTAACAGCCAAACTTTCTAAAACTTGTACTAAAAGACTTGCTGCAAAGAGCTAATATTTAAAACAAAAAAGATTGAAGTGTCAATGTACAAATTAACCCCTTCAGAGCCCTCCCATCCCCATTCCTTGGGAAATGGCTTCTTAAGCTTCTATCAAGAGATCTAAAGAACTTATAAAAATGAGTCAGCTGGACTCAAAATATCAATTCAGCACCCCCCCCCAGTAAAGCTTCACCACATGGTTTTCTACCCAGACCTGATCCTCAGAAGCTCCCTGTTGTGTACCAAATGAGAGGTGGTCCTGGGAGGGCCCACCAAAAAACTGCCACTGGTTTGAAAGTATCTGGCACGGTAAGGAGTGTCGTCCGCCCCCCCCCCACTTCCAGGCCAAGACTCTGCCCTGGAATCTGACTTTTTTCTAAGCCACACCCATGTCCCCCTTTCCAGCTGCAGCACAGACTGCCAAATGCAGTCTTAACTCACTACAGTGCAAGGTGGTTAGTGTATTCAGCCTTCAGAAGCTTCAGACCCTGGACAGACCAGTCACCAAGAGTCAAAAAACCAACGATTTTATCTCCTTTATGGCGAGGTGATTAATCTGATTGTCTCCTTGAAGGACAGGAGCTGTCTGTTTGGCTGGCAGTGTGGACTGAGAGGTCAGCCTTCCATCATGAATGCCTAAAACAGAAAAGGAAAGAGACCCCAAAGGAAGAGAATGCCGCTTCAGTGAACAGAGTGTAAGAGGACAGGGAACATTAGATCCTCTGATGCCCAGGACCAGGGACAGGGACTAAAGCAAAGCAGAGGAAAGCAGCGAGCAGGAGGGAGAGGATTTTAAAACATCTTTGCAAGTCCTCATTAGAGACTTCTTTATTTTGTGCTATGGCAGCAGCAGTTGGAACAAGACAGTTGTCATTAGCGTGGCCATTTTGTCTTGGTCTGCTAGATTAGAAGGAAAGAGGAAAGTCTCTGAAGCTGACCATATGGAAAGGGATGTTCAGTGCCCAGATGGACAGTTTTCCCGAAAGAGCTTCACTCAGAAATAATTTTTTTCTTGCTGCAAACATGGGAATAGTTTAAACAGCCTAATTTAACTTGAGGAGACTAGAGACAGGATAATTAAGGCCTTGATGTGGGGAGAAACAGCTGTGAGACAGAGCAGAGCACACGGGCCTTACGGATTCCAGTCAGGTCTGGGTGGCTGCTGCTTAGAGGTGCTCAGGTGGCATTGTGTATAACTAGGAAGTTAACCTGACCACTCTGATGGTAATAACCACAGCTGTTTCTCGAGCACTTGCTATGTGCCAGCCCTGTGGCTATGTATCGACACCATGTTTCCTTTTAATCCTAGTGCCAGTTAGTGTCTGTGACCCCATAACTCCTTGTCTCCAAAATCTGGAAGCTACACCCCTAGGGCTCATTTGTGCCCCATGCCATTTGGGTTCAACCCAATGAGTAACACCAGCAGTCAGTCAGGGTGGAATGAGAAGCTCTTTCTTCCTCATTTCCTGTAAACGGGCCTGTAGCCCCAGCTTCAGCTATATCCCTCACACCCCAGTGCCCAGGGGCACACCCCTCTGCTAGGCCTCCAGGTCTCACTGGGCTCTCCTCTCTTTCTGCTTTCAGCCTTTGGGGTGGTGTTCTAGTTTGTTTCTCCATTGCTGTGACAAAACACTGACCAATACCAACTTGGGGAGGAAAGGGTTTATTTGTCTTACATCTCCTGGGTCACAGTTCATCAGGGAGCCCAAGGTAGGAACTCAGGGCAGGAACCTGGAGGAAGGATCTGGAGCACAGGCCATGGAGGAATGCTGCTTACTGACTTGCTCCCCTGGCCCCTGCTCAGCCTGTTTGCTTATACAATACAGAACAACCTGCCCATGGGTGGCCCGTGGTCCATTGTGGGCAGGGCTCTCCCACATCACTCAAAAATCAAGAAAGACATGGCCTCAGACCAGTCCAATGGAGGCAATTCCCCAGTTGAGGGTCCCTCAACCCAGGTGTGTCAAGATGACTAAAGCTATCCAGCACAGGTGGCAAGGGATTCCCTAGTCCTGCTAGTTCCTGAAGTGCCCCACCAACCTTTGTGCCCTCGCCATTGCCCAAACCTCTGTAATAAATGTGAACCATTTAGGGTAAAGTTGATTTCTACCAAGACATAAATATAATCCATAAAGCAAGCTCAGGCACTTATCCCCAACTAACCAGCACATAGGGGCTAGGTAATTCATTTGGCATCACCTACCAAACAGACCTTTATCTGTTTCAAAGTCTGCATGCATCACCACACCCCAGACCTTGCCCTGCATCTAGAATGATTCCCTCAGGGTCCAGAAAGTCTGAGGAATGGCTGTTAAGCAAGTGAGCCCTTAAGAAGCAAGTACAAAGATTGTCACAGGAGGAAGCGAAACCCAGCAGTTATATAGCACATAGTGAATGGCGCCACTCACAGATGGTGAGGGAGTGTGCCAGGGCAGGACATATTCAGAACTGTAGCTTTGCCAGTTGGAACCCAGAGGTGTCTGTCTCTGCACTGTATTGC